CTTCCTGTGTTGCCCGGGCTGGTCTCAAATTCCCAGGCTCAAACGATCCTTTCACCTTAGCCTCCCCAGTAGCTGGGACTACAGACAGGCGCCACCATGCCCTGATACTTTTTTGTTTTGTAGAGATGGAGTTTTGTTGTGTTGTCCAGGCTGGTCTTGAACTCCCAGGCTCAAGTGATTCTCCTGCCCGGGCCTCCCAAAGCACTGGGATCACAGGCCGGGGCCACTGCGCCCGGCTAAGGCCCTACTGCTTTTTTTTTCTTTTTGGGACAGAGTCTCGCTCTGTCACCCAGGCTGGAGTGCAATGGCACAATCTCGGCTCACTGCAACCTGCGCCTCCCGGGTTCAAGCAATTCTCCTTCCTCAGCCTCCCAAGTAGCTGGGATTAGAGGCACCCGCCACCATGCCCGGCTAATTTTTGCATTTTTAGTAGAGACGGAGGTTTCACCATGTTGGCCAGGCTGGTCTCGAACTCCTGACCTCAGGTGATCTGGCCGTCTCAGCCTCCCAAAGCGCTGGGATCACAGGCGGGAGCCACCGCACCCAGCCAGGCCTTGCTTCTTAGCAACCCACGTGGAAACACAAGACAACCCTACGGAGGCCACCCCCAGCCCGGCTTCTATGGGGGCCACCCCTATGCCGGCCAGCTGCCCACGGAGGATCAGGCACAGCTGCAGCTTTCACGTTCCTTGTTAAAAATCATAAAAAACAAAATAATGGCAAAGGCCGAAGATGCCGCGAGTGCTGGGCTGGGGATCGGGGCTCGGCGCCTTCTGGGCGTTTCCGTCCAAGGGGTCACCACCCGGACCCCCGGTAGAGACGGGGAAACTGAGGCTTGGAGCCAGACATGCTGGGTTTTGGCCTTGGGTCCGCCACGTCCCGTTCACGCCGGGACGCGCCACTCCGCCTCTCGGCCTCAGTTTCCCCCTCTGTCACCGGGCACAACAAGGGACCTGGGCCGGGCCTAGCCCCCGGAAACGCGCACAAACACGGAACGCAGCGGCGCGGAGGTGGGCCGAGGCGGGAGCGCGGATGGGGCCGCGGGGCGACGTCCTCACCAGTTCTTGACCAGCTGCCGGTAGCGCGGGCCCAGGAACCGGGTCATCATCGCGGCGGAGTCGCACCCTCAGGGTGACCCTGTCCGGCTGACCCGGTCACACTGCGCAGGCGCGAGCGCGGCGCGCACGCGCGCAGGGAAAGGGAAAAAAAAAAAATCATCCGCCGCTGTGCGCGCAGACCCGGAAGCCGCTTACAGTAACTTCCGGCGAGGGTTGGACGATCAGGGAGAGGTGGCTCGGAGTGGGCGGGGTTAGGGCGGGGCATTTTGGGCACGTGTTCTGACGGCCGATTTTGCCTCTAGGCTCCACGGGGCTACCTGCCAATGATTTTATTCGCCTAGCATGTGCCAGGACGTCCAGCGGGGTAGCATCTTGCCCAGAGTCACACAGAGGGGAAGAGCTGGGACTGGAGCCCACTTTTGGAGGCGTCAGGCGTTGTTCCTGATTCGCTGTAGGACTTTGGCCGAGTGGCAGTGCTTCCCTGAGCCTCAAAGTTGCCGGTTGCTTGGAGGCTCTGTCGGAAATCACTTTGCAGGTTTTCGTTTGCGAGCCTGGGTGATTCCTCAGTCAGGCAGCAGAGGGAGGCCTGGCTCCTTGCACGGTGAAAGTCTCTGGATGGTCTTAGCTGATGACAGGCAGGTCCTTCTGCCTCCTGCTTTCCACCGCACCAGGCTCGCTTGGGCTCGCCCTTCTCCAGTCCCTGCTTCCTCTGCTCTCCCACAACCCGGCGCAGCACCGTACATGTTCACTCAGCTCCCAGCTTCCAGCCTCCCCATGCACACCGGGCCGGTGTGGGCAGAAGGAAGAGGGGCACATTCCCAGACACCGCCATGGCACTTTTCTGTCTTTTCCCCCATTTTCAAGAGTCGCCTCCCTCAGGAAGCCCTCCTGGACTGCCTGACCCCCAGGCACCTTTACAGCATGAAAGGAAAGGCCATAACCTAGACGGGGAACTGGGCGTGATTTGTCCCTGGGGTGCCAGCCTCATTTGCAGGCCTCGTGATAAGGAATGGACACCATGGGTTCGTCTGCCCAGCCTGGCCTGTCCTGCTGGGGTCGGCCCTCAGTACTCTCCAAGCCTGCAGCTCTCTCGGGGCTGCGGGTGCTAACCCATCCCTATCCCTGGTCAAGGACTCAGGGTGGGAGCCGGAAATAGGTTTTGGATACCACAGTCTGGGCACTGTTTCTTTTTTCTTTTTTTTTTGAGACGGAGTCTCGCTCTGTCATCCAGGCTGGACTGCAATGAGGTGATCTCGACTCACTGCAACGTCCACCTCCCGGGTTCAAACGATTCTCCTGCCTCCGCCTCCCAAGTAGCTGGGACTACAGGCACGTGCTACCACGCCCAGATAGTTTTTGTATTTTTAGTAGAGACCGGGTTTCACCATGTTGGCTAGGCTGGTTTTGAACTCCTGACCTCAAGTGATCCAGCCACTTCAGCCTCCCAAAGTGCTGGGATTACAGGCGTGAGCCATCGGGCTGGGCGTTGTTTGTAGAACTTTCCAGTTGCCTTGGGGTTTTTGAGCTTGGGATCAGAGAACACCTGAATAAGACTCTTCCCACTGGTGGAAACTTAAAAGTGGGATGCAGGGGTTGACATAATGACTATTAAGAGAAAGGACAGGAACACAAGAGCTGCTGGAATGTCAGCCCAGTTTCCAGATGCCACAGTTTAGTAAGAGTTCACCAGGGGCCGGGCGCAGTGGCTCATGCCTGTAATCCCAGCACTTTGGGAGGTCAAGGCGGGCGGATCACTTGAGATTAGGAGTTCGAGACCAGCCTGACCAACATGAAGAAACCCCATCTCTGTTAAAAATACAAAATTAGCCAGACATGGTGACGGATGCTTGTAATTCCAGCTACTCGGGAGGCTGAGGCAGGAGAATCGCTTGAAAACCCGAGAGGCGGAGGTTGCGGTGGTGAGCCGAGATCACGCCACTGCACTCCAGCCTGGGAAACAAGAGTGAAACTGCATCTCAAAAAAAAAAAAAAAAAAAAAAAAAAGAGTTCACCAGAGAGTGAGAGTGATATAAACAAGAGCTGGGAGATGGAGAGAGATTTGTAATGGTGCCTGGATCCAGCTGTGCCTGAAGCCATTCAACATGACATAGAACTTCCTTTTTGTTTCTTCAGCCGGTTTTTGTTATTTTATTGGACCATCTGGATGCCCCCTCCACCTTTTTTTGAGACAGGGTCTGGTGTGGCTCTCTTGCCCAGGCTGGAGGGCAGTGGTACAATTACAGTTCACTGCCACTGCAAGCTCCTGGTCTCAAGTGATCCTCCCACCTCAGCCTCCTAAGTAGCTGGGACTACAAGTGTGTGTCACCAGGCACAACCAATTTCATTTTAATTTTTTGAGACGGTCTTGCTCTCTCGCCCAGGGTAGAACACAGTGGTGCAATCTCGGCTCTCTGCAATCCCCGCCTCTTGGATTCAAGCTATTCTCCTGCCTCAGTCTCCCAAGTAGCTGGGATTACGGGCATGCATCACCACGCCCAGCTAATTTTTGTATTTTTAGTAGAGACAGGGTTTGACCATGTTGGCCAGGCTGGTCTCAAACTCCTGACCTCAAGTGATCCACCCGCCTCAGCCTCCCAAAGTGGTGGGATGACAGGTGTGAGCCACCGCACCTGGCCAATGAATATTTTATTTTTATTTATTTATTTATTTATTTTTTGAGACGGAGTCTCGCTCTGTCGCCCAGGCTGGAGTGCAGTGGCGCAATCTCGGCTCACTGCAAGCTCCGCCTCCCGGGTTCACGCCATTCTCCTACCTCAGCCTCCCGAGTAGCTGGGACTACAGGCGCCCGCCACTGAGCCCGGCTAATTTTTTTCTATTTTTTAGTAGAGATGGGGTTTCACCATGGTCTCAATCTCCTGACCTTGTGATCCGCCCGCCTCGGCCTCCCAAAGTGCTGGGATTACAGGCGTGAGCCACCGCGCCCGGCTGCCAATGAGTATTTTAAAAGTTGTTTTCCAGCATGAATGTAGAGGCAAGCTGGGTGCTGAGTGGTGGACAGGGCTCCCTCAGCACCTTCTGTCAACTCCTGGCCACTCTCTTCCCCTTAAAAAAAAAGAGACATGGGGTCTCACTATGTTGCCCAGGCTGGACAGGAACTCCTGGCCTCAGACGATCCTCCCACCTGAAGTGCTGGGATGACAGGCATGAGTCACTGTGCTCGGCCTTCTCCTTAAGGCACTTGTGCACCGAAGGGCTCTCTCCTAGGGGCCACCCCCCTCAAGTGGCCAGGAAGGCACTCCTTCCACCCCAACCCCATAGGGGACCAGGGCAGTCCAGCTGTGTCCTCAAAGAGATGGAGCAGGGAAGCCTCTGGGCACAACAGCAGATGCCGGCGGGCACTTTAGGATGAGCAGCGCCCCGACGGATCCTGCCACACCTCTTCCCCCCAGAGAGCCTTGTCCATGGTTCTGTGGGTGTCCGGTTGTGGAGGACATCACGAATGCCCCACTGAGGAGTGCAGAGTTGATGCTGCCAGCAACAGGGGGCCGTGGAAAGTTTCAGAGGGGCAGTGACAGGCTCAGACTTCGGGAGCAGGAAGGGGCAGTGAAGTGAGTTCCAAGAGCCCGGGGGAACGTTGGGAAATCGGGAGCCCTCGGGCTGGGAGGACCATAGGTCCTGGATGGTTCCTATGCGCCCAAGTGCAGCCCCCAGGGAGTTGCTTTTCTCCGGAAGCCAATCCTGCTTCGAGGTGGCCTGGAGCCCTGGGTACAGGTGCAGGTTCCCAGCTGCCCTGGGAGCTGTGGGCCCCTCAGAGTGAGGAGTGACTTCAAGGAGGCCCAGTGCACAGGGCAGACCACAGTCCTCGCTGCACCCACCAAGGTGAACGTCAGGGGCCGAGAGTTTAGGGAAAGACCTCTGACCCTGCCCCCCACTTCCCTTCCTAAACATGTGACATCAGAAAGAATCCAGGGACTGCAGAGCATCGTTATAAAATGTCACATTTATTGCTACAGTGCTGTTATATACAGGACAGGTCTCTGAATCCACTTTAAAGAGGATCGTTTAAAAGTCCCAATAATCCAGCCAGCTGTGTTGACACGTATAAAATTATTTTCTTTAAAAAAATTTTTTTGAAAACCATCTTGAGGCACTCAGAGCACACCCCCCAACCCCCCATAATTGTGGTTCCCCGGAACTGCTGTTTCTTCCTCCTGGCGCTGGGTGAATCTCGTTTAAATTCTATGCAGAACGCACAGTTCCAGAGGCTACGGGGCCACTGCCCACCCAGACCTAGGGGCAGGGCCAGGATCAAACCAAGAGGGAGACAGAGGCAGGTTCCCTAAGAGACCAAATCCCCAGGGCGCAGGGGGAACCACCGAGAAGGGAGAGTGGCAGACAGCCCCTCCCCTCCACCTGGCCTGGACTGGGGGCAGATCCCAGGCCTTGAGCTGGCCTTGCGGTTTCCCTTGAATGTGCCATGGGGCCCAGGCTCCCCAGCAAGTCTGGGGAGGGGAGTCAGGCAGTCCAGGCTCTCCTGGGGGTAATGGTGGGAGTCTCAGGGGTAGCACATGGGCAGACGCCTGACCTGCTGCAGGGGTGAGCACAGCCAGCCCGGGGGTCCGCAAGGACTCAATGCAGGGAGGGGCATGAAGAACACATGAAGGTGCCCGGCTAGCCCGGCCCACACCTGGGTGACACAGTGACCATCACCCTAGTTTGTGTGGAAGTGAACGGAATCTCAGGGTAGGAGACTTGCAGTTTTAAACCCAAGACAGTCCCCAGACGCTGGCAAGAGCTGGTTACCCTCATGGCAAGAGACCAGAAAAGGGGACCTGGAGAGAGGCCTGGGTGCTGGGACACAGGACACAGATGGGCCCGAGGGGCCACCCTGCTGGTTCTGCAGCCGGGTTGCGCAGCCCAAGGCCTTCGTGGGGCACAGACCAGCAGAGTCTCCCGGCTCCAGCCACTCTTGCCCTTGGGCCCCACAGAGGGAGGGCAGCAGGTATGGCCCCAGGTCCAGGGATGCTCCCCAGCGTTGCGGGAGACCGACCAGGGCCCTGGCACCCTGTCTACATCACGATGGCCCTCTGGTGTAATGGGGACATGCTCGGGTGGGGTGGGGGGGTCCTGTGCTGGCTCCTGAGCCATCCCCTCAGAGTTCAGAGTACGAGCCTGGGTCCCTGGGGCAAAGGAGTGAAGGACAGGGTATCCAGGAGGGTCCCCAGCACCCGGCTCCAGGGTGTGTCCCCATGCCAGGGGTCACTGGTCCCAACATGCCCCGTTTCGGAGAGGTGTGCAGGTTCCAAGGGAGAGCAGCTTATGGGGGCCTGGGGAGGACATCGTGTGGAGTAGCCCTGGGGGCCAGAGCTGCTTGGCAGAGTCACCTGGGTCAGAGCCACCTTGCTGACGTCCCTTCCCCCAAGCCCAGGTCAGCCCCCTTCCTGAGGGGAGAGGATGCCGCAGGGAAGCCCCAAGGCGCCTTCATCAGGGAACGCCCACGCATCGCTTTCCATGTGACAAAACCAAGAGGAGAACCCCCAACATGAAAAACACAAAAGACCCGCCGCCTGTCCCCGTTCTGTCTGTGTGCAGTGGCTTCCGGGGGGGCGGGGGCTCATCAAAAACACAAAAGACCCGCCGCCTGTCCCCATTCTGTCTGTGTGCAGTGGCTTCCGGGGGGGGGCGGGGGGCTCAGGTTTACACGGGGTCTTTTTAATACAACGTTTAATCATCTGGTTGATCAGGAAATGCAATGCTCAGTCTAGAAACAGCAGCAGAAATAGCGAGAGACACGGGACTTTTATACAAAAAAATTTGTTGCTTACAAAACATATGCAAAAAAAAAGCTTAAAAAAAAAAAACCAGAGACCAAAGGCAGCATCCTTGCTAATTTTCATCTACATTAAGAAGAAAAAAAAAAATCTCATAACTAATGTTCTTTTTATTTTCCTTAAAAAAAATATTAGGCTTAGGCACAATTTGCTGGTGGCTTTTGAAGCATAAGCCAGGTCTCCACAGCATCCCCCTCGAGTGATATGTTTCCATTTCTCCACTTTTTATAGTTAAGGCATTTTTTTTCTTTTCTGACAAAGTGTATGTTTTGTTGCTCGCTGTCAGGTTTTGTTTACTGGGAAAAAAAAAAAAAAAAAAAAAAAAGGTCCTGTCAGCCCAGGCAACAGGGCCAAGACACAGTTTCAGGATCCACGGGGCAAGTCACAGGGTGACATGGTGGCTAAGATTCGAGGACAGGGGGAGCAAGGCCAGGGAGGGGTGGGCCAGGGTCCCAGGGAGCTCCTGGACCCAGCGTCACCTTGGTCGCTCCCATCACTCCGAACCTCGTCAGGTTGGTGTTGGCTCGACGCTGACAACAGGTGTGTGAGGTGTGGACGTGGACGAAGCCTGGGGTCTCGAGTGGCTGTTCTAGGCCCAGCGCACAGGGCTGAGAGTGGGTGGCTCGTCCCACGGAGGCATACCTTTCACATGTGCCCGGCGGGGTTGTGGGCTTCGCTCAGGCCTGGGTGGGCAGCTGAAAGCACCATCTGGGGATCTCCGACCACGCCCGACACCTTTTCCTCTTCTCGCCGTTTCAAACAGGCTGCTTTGGGATTCAGGTTCCGCTCTGGGGGGAGGGGGAGAGCTCTGTGGGAGACGTCCCGGGGAGGAGGAAGATGTAAGGTGGGAGTGGGGGGTAGGATGTCGGGGAGGACGGGATGGGGGCAGGGCTCCACGTGTGGTCTCCTGCATTTCCGGCTCTCACCTCCTTCCTTGAGAAGGCTGGGGGGATGGGGTGGGGGGGGTTGTAAAGAAGACAGTGGGATCAGACGGTGTCTGTGGCACGTCACTGGGTCTGAATCCAGTCACAGAGAGAGACACGGACAGAGCCCAGGGCCAGCAAGCACAGGAGGACCCCGGCATCTGCTCCTGGGTGTGGGGAGGGGAGAGGGTGCTGGGGCCGCCCTGGCCGGGGAGCCTACCTCGCACCTGCTGCTCCAGCCCCAGGATGACCTGCACGGCCTGCTGCAGGATGAGCAGCTTGGTCTGCGCTTTGTCCGACTTGAGGTGCATCTGGCACATGCGCCCCAGCTCCCGGAAGGCCTCGTTAATATCCCGCACGCGCACCCGCTCCCGCGCGTTATTGGCCATGCGCCTCTCCCGGTCCCTCAGGTCTTTCTCCTCCAGGGACAGCACCTCCTCCGTACTGCTGGGTCACAGCACCGAGGCCTCTGTTAGTGACGGGCCAGGGCTGGGTGGGAGGGCGGGGCTGGGTTGTGGAGAGGGTATCCATCTACTTGTGTTTGTGTTGGTGTGGGCAGCAGTGCGGGTACACGGCTGGTGTTGGTGTGGGCAGCAGTGAGGGTACACGGCTGGTGTTGGTGTGGGCAGCAGTGCGGGTACACGGCTGGTGTTGGTGCTGGTGTTGGTGTGGGCAAGGTGAGGGTACACGGCTGGTATTGGTGTGACAGCAGTGCGGTACACGGCTGGTATTGGTGTGGGCACAGCAGTGAGGGTACACGGCTGGTGTTGGTGTGGGCACACAGCAGTGAGGGTACACGGCTGGTGTTGCGCGGCAGCAGTGAGGGCACGCTGGTGTTGGTGCGGCAGCAGTGCGGGTACACGGCTGTGTTGGTGCGGCAGGTGGTACACGGCTGGTGTTGGTGCGGGCAGCAGTGAGGGTACACGGCTGGTGTTGGTGCGGCAGCAGTGAGGGTACACGCTGGTGTTGGAAAGCGGGCAGCAAGTGAGGCACACCGGCTGGTGTTGCGCGCAAGCAAGGAGGCACACCTACTGGTGTTGGTGCGGCAGCAGTGAGGGTACACGGCTGGTGTTGGTGCGGCAGCAGTGAGGGTACACGGCTGGTGTTGGTGCGGGTGCGCGTGCGGGTATTAACGCTGTGTTGCGCAGTGCGGGTACACGGCGAGCAGCGGCAGCAGTGCGGGTGGCCACGGCTGGTGTTGCGCGGGCAGCAGTGAGGGTACACGGCTGGTGTTGGTGCGGGCAGCAGTGCGGGTACACGGCTGGTGTTGGTGCGGGCAGCAGTGCGGGTACACGGCTGGTGGTGGTGCGGGCAGCAGTGCGGGTACACGGCTGGTGGTGCGGGCAGCAGTGCGGGTACACGGCTGGTGGTGGTGTGGGCAGCACTGAAGGGTCACATGCTGCTGTGTGTTGTCACATGCATAAAAATGTGCTCCTCTGTATGCGTGGGGAATGTGCTCCCTGGAATGCAGCAGAGCCCCATGGCGGGCGCCTGTGTGTGTGCGACTGGCTGCCCAGATGCAAGTGCCCTCAGACTCAGCTCTAGGGGAGGCTGTGGATGTGGTCACACCCGGGAAGAACCAAGGTCTGACTGTTCCCAGACGTTTCTGTGGAGGGAGGTGGGGCTCTGCTTCCCGCTCTGGGCCCTTACTGGGTAACTGCTTCTCCCTTGACCCTGCTCACTCTGTGGGCCCCAGGGCAGGGCTAGGGGTGGGGGTGGGGCACAGGGGAGGCCCAGTGCCTGCTCCTCTCTCTGTTCTTCCCTCCCAAGATGATGACTTTCCCCGTTCAGAGCAGCCGCTTGCGGGGTGATGGACAGCAAGGCCCGGCCAGACCCACTGTGGACAGAGGGGGCCTTGAAGACACAGGCTCAGCAGGCAAAGGCCTGGGCCACTCCAAAAACCCGCGACTAGGGAGTCCAGGACTCAGAGTCAGGGCTCATATGGAGCACACCAGCTCCCATCCCCCAAGACCCCCACACTCTGAGGGGGGGGCTCAGAAATGCACCCACCCCCTACAGTGAACTCTGGCTGCCCCAAGATGAGGCTTCCCTGTAGCACCTGACCCTGGCTGGGAACACTGGCTCCCGAGGCCTCCGGGAACCCTGCTGTCACTGCCACTGTGAATGGTCGCAGTGGCAGCTCTGAGGTTCCAAGCACCTGTTCTGTGCCAGGCCCAAGGCTGACCCCCCTCTCCCACCAAGCAGCATGCAGACGGCGAGCGGGCACTGCTGCTGCCGCCGTGGGGGTGCGGGTCCCAGCCCAGGCCTCCGTGCTGCATGGCCCTGCACGGGTGACCTCGCTCTGTTCTCTGGCTCTGTTCCCCGGCTTCCTGCTCAGTAGAAGGGATGCCAGTCCCCATCAAGGCACCCACTGCTGCGGGCTGTGGTGAAAATGAAATGGGCAAAGGCCTGGCCCAGTGCCCAGCATGCCTGCTGCCCTGTCTTAGGCTCTAGGGAGCTGCCTCACCCACCTGCCTGCCCACTCTGCCTTTGGGGCCTGAGGGGATCCCTCCAGGTGGCGGGGGAGGCCCCTGGAGCCCAGGACAAGCGCACAGACCAAACTGACAGGACCAGGGGCTGCGTGCTCCCGGGTCTGGTTTCTTCCCGCAAGCCCTGATGGGGGCTTTGGGGGAGGAAACACCCTGAGGCTGCAGCCCAGCCGCTCCCGGTGCTCGGGCAGCAAGTGCGAGGTGAGGAGGGGCTGCCACGGGAAGCAAAGGGATGGACGGGTGGGATGGAGGGGAGAGCGGAAGGCAGACAGCAGAGAGGCGGGCTTGGGGGGCGCGAGGCGTGCCACACACGGCTGCGGAGACTCAGAAACCTTAGAGCTGAGGGGACAGTGGGTGGGCCGGGCCGGGGCTCTGGCTCCGGTCCCAGCAACAGTGCTGCAGGAGAGAAAGGGTTAACGGGGTGCAGGCAAGGAGAGGAAGGAGTTAATAAGGAAGCAGCCACCAGCAGCAGGGAAGGAGTCTGCTCACATCCAGGGTTGGGGGCAGGGTCTGTCTGTATCCTTCATCCCCCTGGCCCTGGGAAATGGGGTGATTAACACCCACCTTCAGATTAGGAAACTCAGTCAGAGGCAGGGGACGGGCTCATGTGGCCTTGCATGGCATCTGCTCAAGGGGAAGGGGCCAGGGTGGTTTGCACACCAGCTCCTGTCTCTGGGTTCGGGGGACACTGGCCTCTGTGAGGTGGGTTCTGGGCCTCCCGCAAAAGAAGGACCGGGGCGGGTGGGAGCCCTGGGAGCCGGGAGATGTGGTTCTAAGCCACGGAGCCCAGGCCTGCAGGGCTAAGAGTCTAGAAAGAGTCCAGTCCTCCCACGGTGGAGGAGACGCTGAGGCAGACAGGGAGAAGGGCCAGCAGTCAGGAGGGGACAGTCATGGCGGTGCGGTCAGGGGGGTGAAGGGCACAGTCACTGCAAGGAGGCAACTGCTGCAGAGGGAGGGCTGGCTCCAGGAAGGCGGGCAGGGAAGGAGAGCGAGGGCAGGAACACGAGGGAGGTGGCGCTGCGGGGACGCTGGTGGCCCGCGCCCCCACTGACCTCGCACTTGCTGTTCCAAGTTCAGGATGACCGAGACGGCCTGGTGCAGGATGAGCAGTTTGGTCTGGGGCTTCTCGCTGTTGAGGTGCAGCTGGCACATGCGCCCCAGCTCCTTAAAGGCCTCGTTGATGTCACGGACCCGCAGCCGCTCCCGGGCGTTATTGGCCACCCGGCGCTCCTTCTCCCGCTCGGCCTTCTGCTCTGGGGGGAGAAGGTCGTCCTCGTCCTCGTCTGGGCTATGGGGGAGGGCGCCGGGAGGGGGCCAGAGGGAGACAGTGAGGTTGGGGGACGAGCGTGGGGCCCGCCGACGGCCTCCCGGTGTGGGTGCAGTGTGTGTGTGGCCTGTGCACATGTGCTTCCTGATGGGGTGGGGGTGGGGAGGGCCAAGGTCGGGGCTGGCACCTGGTCCGGGCCCGGGGGGCCTTCAGCTCCTTCTTCTCCTCCTCCGAGTGGTCAGCCGCCGACGTGTTCTCCTCATCCTCCTTCTCCTCCCGCTTGATCTCGCCGGCGGCCGCCGTGGCACCTGCTCGCCCTAGCCCTGCAACAGGCCTGGGATCAGGGGCCTGCATCGGCCTCCAGGGCCAATGACATATCTCTCTGTGCTCCTGTGGTGAGGGGCTTAGGCTTTCCTGGAAAAACCAGGTATTTGCCAAAAATAAAAACAAAAAACCAACAACCAGAACTGGATCCCTACCTCACGCCATGTGTAGCTACCAATGCCAGACAGATTAAGGACCAGAAGGTGAAAAGGAAAGAGTTTTACCACCTTTGGAACAAAGTGTGCAGAAATTCTGCAGTAACTCAGGGGCAGGAATCTCCTAAAATGCTAAAAGAATGCTCTTGTTTTTTGGGGAAGGAAATTGTTTCAATCATTGATTTAAAAATATACAACACTTCGGCCAGACATGGTGGCTCACACCTGTAATCCCAGCACTTTGGGAGGCCGAGGCGGGTGGATCACGAGGTCAGGAGATCAAAAATATCCTGGCTAACATGGTGAAACCCAGTCTCTCCTAAAAAATATAAAAAATTAGCCAGGTGTGGTGGCAGGTACCTGTAATCCCAGCTACTTGGGAGGTTGAAGCAGGAGAATCACTTGAACCCAGGAGGCGGAGGTTGCAGTGAGCCAAGATGGCACCATTGTACTCCAGCCTGGGTAACAGAGCGAGACTCTGTCTCCAAAAAAAAAAAAAAAAAAAAAAATTGGAACACTTCAGGAATTTCCACGTCATCTTTTGCAGATGCTATGCTAATATCTGTCATTCTCATTTTAGTCCAAGAGCTGTCCAAGCAAGTGCTCAAAGAGCTGCTTTTAAAAGAACACAACAGGCTGGTCACAGTGGCTCGCTCATGCCTGTAATCCCAGACTTTAGGAGCCTGAGGTGGGAGGATCACTTGAGGCCAAGGGGTCATGGCTACAGTGAGCTGTGATCACGCCCCTGCCCTCTGTCTGTGTGATAGGATGAGACCCTGTCTCAAAACAAAAAAAAAGAAAAAACAAAAATCAATAAACTTAACTTTTATCAAAATTGAGAGTTCCTGATCAGCAAAGATACCAGGCAAATAAAAGCATTTGCCAAAGAATAGAAGAGACACACCACAGATGTAGCCAATAAGGAGGTGATCTCCCATACATACAAAAAACTCTGACAAATCGGTCGGGCGCGGTGGCTCACGCCTGTAATCCCAGCACTTTGGGAGGCCGAGGCGGGCGGATCACAAGGTCAGGAGATCGAGACCATCCCGGCTAACACGGTGAAACCCCGTCTCTACTAAAAATACAAAAAAAATTTGTCGGGTGTGGCGGTGGGCGCCTGTAGTCCAGCTACTTGGGAAGCTGAGACAGGAGAATGGCATGAACCCGGAAGGCGGAGCTTCCAGTGAGCCCAGACTGCGCCACTGCACTCTAGCCTGGGCAACAGAGCCAGACTCCGTCTTAAAAAAAACAAAAAACAAACAAACAAAAAACTCTGAAAAATCAATGGGAAAGGGCAGAAAGGAAGGAGCTCAATAGAAAAATAAGCAAGATATTCAAACAGGCATCTCATAGACAACGAAACCACATGCCCAGGAACACGTGGAAATCCGATTCAGCACATCAAAACGTTAAGGAAATGCAAATTAAGGCTGCGATGCGCTCCCCTTTCATACCCAGTCAGCTAGCGAAGTTGAGAGACCTGAACATTCAAAATTTTGTCTGTGGGAGGGCAAGTTGGCTGCTCTGGAAAATAATTCATCAGCCTTTCCTCTGAACTGACGACAGGTGTATCACACCCTTGATGAGCAGGTTGGCAGGAAAGCATGATGTTGGGATGGCCTAGTGCCCCACACCCAGGCCAGGGCCAACGGTGCACTCAAAATGGGACCCCAGCCGCTTGCACCACACACATACCCCATACACAACATGAGCCAGCAAACCATGTTTGGGGTGTAAAGAACATGCTAGTGAGACGCTGTGTTCGTGAAGCTCAAGAACAATAAAAGCGGCCGGGCGCGGTGGCTCAAGCCTGTAATCCCAGCACTTTGGGAGGCCGAGACGGGCGGATCACGAGGTCAGGAGATCGAGACCATCCTGGCTAACACAGTGAAACCCCGTCTCTACTAAAAACACAAAAAACTAGCCGGGCGAGGTGGCGGGCGCCTGTAGTCCCCGCTACTCGGGAGGCTGAGGCAGGAGAATGGCGTAAACCCGGGAGGCGGAGCTTGCAGTGAGCTGAGATCCGGCCACTGCACTCCAGCCCGGGCGACAGAGCAAGACTCCGTCTCAAAAAAAAAAAAAAAAAAAAAAAAAAACAATAAAAGCAAAACATGTGGCTTAAGGGCACACAGCTACCCCAAACGAATGCGGCCACTCTGCATTCAGCAGGACCTGGGCCACCCCCAAAACCCGGGATCGGGGAGTCCAGGAATCAGAGAGCGCACACGGAGCAAACCAGCTCCCATCCCCCAAGACCCCGGTACCCTGAGGGAGAGCCTCAGAAATGCGCCCACCCCCGACAGTGAACTCTGGTGCAACTGGCCAACGCCAGCCACCAGGACCAGCCCAGGCCTCAGTACACGAAGTGAAGAACAGGAAGGAACCAGAGGGGAACCCGCAGGCAAAAGACTAAGCTTGGGGCCACCCCTGGAAACTGCTGACCTGTGGGTCCGTCCTGGGCACTGCCTACCTGTGGGTCCGGACCCTTCTCTGGGACGGGGTCGTCCCGGGGCACTGCTGACCTGTGGGTCCGGACCCTTCTCTGGGACGTGATCGTCCCGGGGCACTGCTGACCTGTGGGTCCGGACCCTTCTCTGGGACGCGGTCGTCCCGGGCACTGCAGGGTGGTAAGCAGCATCCCTGGTCCCCACCCACTCCATGCCAGGAGCCCCCCTCAGCTCTGACAACTGCAGATGTCCCCAGGCATCACCCAGTGTCCCCTGGGGGCAGAGCTGCTAGGGTGAGATGCCCTGGCCTAGGGGTGATAAAATCAAGGTACTTGGAAAGGCTGACTGGAAGGCAGGCAGGATTCCTGGGGTGGTGAAAGGGACGGGGCCAGGACAGGGCCCACAATGACCCCGCCTTCTCCTGGGCCTCTCATGGGTGTCTGAGACGCTCAACAACCCTCAGGCCCAGGTCCAGATTTGTCCCCAACCCGTTCCTTTGTCCCCTTCCTTACGGGGTTCCCAGCCCCCGTGTCACCCACAGCTCGGGCCAGATATCCCAGAGCCACCCTGCCTCCTCTCACCCTCAAGTCGGGTCGTCACAAATCCTGGGGGCCCCGCCTTCCGGAGATGCAGGGACCACGCGCTGCTCACCCCTCCAAGGCCCCTGGACCAGCCCTGTGGCCTCTGCCCTGGTCTCCGGGTGCCACTCATGGTCTGTCCTCCAAGCAGCCACCAGAGGGTGTCTGTGAGCACCTGGGTCAGCTCCTATCCCTCCTCGGCCCGCAGCCCTCCATGGCTGCCACCTCTCTCATGGTGAAATCCCAAGTCCTCCCTGCATGACCTGACCTGCCCTCCTCTCCCTGCCCTCCCCGCTTCCCTCTCCCCCACCTCCTCACTCTGCTCTAACCCCACAGGTCTCCTGGCTGTTCCTCCCAGGTGCGGTCCATCCCCAGGGCCTCTGCCTGAAACCCTCCTCCTCCAGGTACTTGCCTCCTCTCACCTCCTCCCAGACGCTGCCCAAACATCACCTTGTTGCCTCCAGGGCCACCATCTTCAAAGCCATACAAAACCCCCAACGCACTCCGGCCACTTCGTTCATTCTCCCTGGCACCTGTGCTGTACAGCGAGCTCCTGGTCTGTCTCCCCCGAGGCAGGGTCATCCTGCTGCACCCCTTGCCCCCCTTCCGCAGTGCCAAACACTGGCAGGCACATGGCATGTGGGAGCAGGCGGATGAAGAGGCAGCCCAGAGCCGTCCACCTCACACACCCAGGGCCAACGCTGGCCCTGCTAGCCTCGCCCACCCTCCTGAAATTGCTGACTGGGGCGCCTGTGTCACCAGGTACCCCCACGGTGACCGCACCTGCCCTGGGTTCCCACCGACTCCCCCAACTGGAACCAGAGACCGGACCGTGCCAAGCTCAAGGGCTCACCGCTGTAGGAGTCAGGAGGCCGCGAGAGGTCGGGGAGGGCGCCTGGCTGGCTGGGGAGGGCCGCGTGGTTGTGCATGAGGCTGGTGCTGCCCGCAAGGCCATCCTCGGGGTGTCCGCCTCCAACCTGCAGGCGTGGGAGAGGGGCGCGTCAGGGGGAGCCGGGTCTCTGCCCACTGCCCAGCCCCACCCTCGCCCGGTGCTCACCAGGCCTGCGTGCCGCCCGCCCAGCGACATGGGGCCGGCGAAACCCGAGGCCAGCGCCCCGTGGCCAGGCAGCAGCGTGTGCATGTCGCCGGCTGTGCCCACGGCGTGGCTGCGGAGCACGTGGATGGCCTCGTCCAGGTGGTCTTCTATCTTGCTCTGCTGCAGGGTGGGGGATGGGTGGTGAGGCGCCCGGGCCGCGGGACCCCACAGGACCCCATTCATGTCCCTTCCGCATGCAGGTGGCCGGTGGTCCTGTCTTCCCCTTCCCCGAGAAGCTGTGTTTTGGACCAGCTCAAAATGTGTGTGCCCTGGTGGCCACGAGGCCTCAATAACAGCTTATTTACGAGAGATTAACTAAAAGGTTTCTACTTCTCAGGGGGCATCTGTCCTGCACATTCTGCCAGGGAAAGGTGGGGCGGGGCGGGGCGGGCGCTCACCAGGCCGTGGAGACCCCCGTCGTAGCTGGGCGATAAGGCACCGGGGGCTCCTGCTCGAGGCCACTGCGACGTCCCTGGAAGGGGGTGGGGGCACGTGAATGGGGTGCAAGGGGCAGGGTGTGAGCACGGCCTGATGCCTGTGGGGAGAGATTCATGAACCGCCTGTCCAGCCTCCAGTGATGCCCACGACGGCCATTCCGGGGCACCCCACACCGACGCAAAGCAGCTCTCAGCCCTGCCAGGCAGGGATGCTGGGTGCCCAGTGGATACTGCCGTTCCCATCCAAGCCTGTTTCCCCATCTACAAAATCCAACCCCCCACCCCAGCTCGGCAGCACACAGCAGGGGGCTCCTCCCCATGCTGCCCCACCCTGGCTGACCCACTCCGGGCTCCAGCAGCAGGCAGGGAAGTGGCAAGTTCCAGGTGGGACTAGACAGGCCGAGGTGAAGTGAGGGCTCCTGGCGCTTCCCATGGGGCAGAGGTGAGGACTCATGGGTGTTTTTTTTTGTTTTTTTTTTGAGATGGAGTCTCACTCTGTCGCCCAGGCTGGAGTGCAGTGGTGCAATCTCCACTCACTGCAAGCTCCACCTCCCGGGTTCACGCCATTCTCCTGCCTCAGCCTCCCGTGTAGCTGGGACTACAGGCGCCGCCACCGTGCCCGGCTAATTTTTGTATTTTTAGTAGAGACGGGGTTTCACCAGGTTAGCCAGGATGGTCTCGATCTCCTGACCTCGTGATCCACCCATCTCGGCCTCCCGAAGTGCTGGGATTACAGGCGTGAGCCACTGCGCCCGGCTCACGGGTGTTTTTAACCACCCAGACCTTCTGGAAACCTCCAGCTTCTCACTCCCGCGCCGCCTGCACCTGCCCCCCACTCCCTGCTGATAAGCAGGCATGTCCTCACAGGGCTAAGAGGGTCTGCCCCGGGGCCAGAGCCCCGCAAAGGGTAAACAGCCAGTATCTAATAAATACCCAGCGGGTGAGCAAATAGCAACATGCGCATGTTCTAGAGTCCAGGCCACATCCCTGGCGCAGCTGGCCCCGTCGGATCTGGGAGCTGCTGGGCACGCCAGCGTCCCCTCATGTTCATGCAGCGTGAACTGCCAGGTTCTGCCTCCTGGCTTTGCCTGTGCTGTGACCTAACCCGGACGCCACCTCCCAGCCCTCCCTCACTGCCTGGGTATGCGCCATAGCTTTGGAGGGCTGGCTTGGAGACTGCCTCCACCAGGCGGCCTTCCTGGATTGCCCAGTGGAACACAAGCCCACAAGGGATTTCCTTCCACTGTCAGTCCCCGACCAGAGATGCCACAGGCCCCTGGGGGTGAGCTGCTCCCTCCCACCTGCCTGCGCCCATCCCAGCAAGGAGCAGGCACCAGAACCAGCCTCCCCTGTTCCCCAAAACCCTCACAGACCTGCCAGGCCCTGAGGGGAGCCCACGGGGGTGGAAGGGCTGGATGAGAAGTTATTGCTTGAGTGATCCGGGGAGTAGATCTGCGAGTAGGACCAAGAGAGACGAGAGACGGGAGATCAGGGGCCGGCCTCTCGGGTCACTTGCCTGGCCACCCCCCGTGCCCCACGCCTCACCGAGGCCAGTGCTTTCCCAAGGGCATCCCCGGAGCTGCCGGCTGTGGTCCCTCGGGAGCCTGTGGGTGGAGAGAGGTGAGGCCCATGCAGCCCAGCCTGGCTGCTGCCACCGACGGCAAGCTCTCCTGCGTCCCGCCGTCCCGCACAGACACCACCGCGCTGGGGAGAGCAGCCTGACTCGGGTCCGGTTTCTGTCTGATCACCCCCCAGAAAACCGGCCTCCGCAGGGGTGACGTGCTGGGGATAGGCCACTGGCAGGGGACCCTGGGTGAGTGAGCCCCTCTCCGAGCCTGGGTGTCCCTCTCCGAGCCTGGGTGTCCCTCTCCAAGCCTGTTTCCCAGCTGTAAGGCGGGAAAGCTGCTCCTCAAAGAGCTGTTTCCAGACATCCCAAGCCCAGTGCACGCGGCAGGCCCTACTGACAGCGGACAATGTGAACGGACGACAGCCCGCTCTCAGGGTCAGCAAACGTGCCTGCGCCCCCCCGTGGAGTCCTCGCCACCCCCCCCACTGAGCCCACCTAGGCCCTGCCTGGAGCTCAGTGTCCCCTCAGAGAGGCCGCATCCCAGAGAATGGCCATACCCAGGAGGCTGTCGGCCCCGCTGACAGGCGGCGTGTGGCTGGAGACGCCACCGTACGTGGCTCCGGGGGCCGAGGAGAAGGAGGATGCAGCCGGGAGCCCACCGTTCACCTCTGCTCCGTGCAGCTGGTAGCCCTGGGGGCCGGGCAGGAGGAGGGTGGATTAGATGAGGCACTGCCACCCTCCACCCACCCCATCCCCTGCCCCGGGCCCTACCATGCGCTCGTGCTGGTGCAGTCCAGCAAACGTGCTGCTGCTTCCACTGCTGCCCACAGGGCCGCTGCCGGGCGGGAGGGGCAGGGGGGATGAGCCCCCACCCAGCATGGGCCCGAAGCCCGCCTGGCCCGGGGGACTCCAGAGCTCGGCTGAGGGGTGCAGGCTGCTATCTGTGGAGGGGAACTGGTAAGGCGGAGGCCGGGTGGGGAACCCTGGCCCTGCCCCACCGTCCCTGGCGAGCCCCCCGCCGCCGTGTACCTGCCATGTAGAAGGGGGCGGGATAGGCGCTGCTGGGGGTCTTGGCGGACGGGTAGGCAGCGGCATCCCTGCCGTAGTCCTCACCTGAGCTGGGCGGGTACACCTATGGGCGGGTGGGTGGTAGGGGGTGCACAGTCACGACGGAGGCGCTGCTCGGGGTCCATCAGCCCATACACCTTACAGGCCTCACTAAGCCTGGCCTCCTGTCCCCTCTCCTGGTAGCACATCTACCACCCTGTTTCCCTTCCCTGCAAAGCCACCCCCGGTCTTTGGGTAAATCCCAGCCCCTTGGCCCAGTCTGAGGTTCTTATGGTGTCCTCGTCTCTCTCTCCTGCTCCTTTTCCAGCCCCCACCTCCTGCCTCCCTGAACTTCTGATCTTTGTACCTGAGGACTTGGATCTGGCTCTGCCTACTAAGCCTTTTTCCTCTTTAATCCAAAAAACTCCTGTTGATCCATCAAAACCCCAGCTCCAACACTCCCATCCCATTCTTCTCCCTTGTTCCCCAACTGGAATCAATCCTCCAGCGCCGAGCTTCCCTTGGCCCCAGAGCAACATTCATCTTTGGCTAAAGTAACGGAAAGAGTGGTCTGTGATCAGTGCTAACTCTGGCTGGCACTGTCTGGACTGTGGGGCTGGGGCCAGTTGGTAACGTCTGCCCCTGTGCTGCAGCAGAAAGTGCGCTGGGTGGGCCTGATGCTGTAACACACTGGGGGGCGGTTTCAGGGCAGAGGAAGTGTGTCCCGGGGAAGGAGGGGAGCGGCACTGTTGGGAGCAGAGCCGGAACACGCTTTTGGCCTGGGAAAGCAGCCTGACTCTAACCCTAAACCCGGGCCTGTGGGGAGCTGGTCAGCCCGAGGGGAGAGGAGACGTATGCCCAGGGTTCTTGGGGCCAGCACACAGGCTGGGCAGAGGGTGCTTGGTGGCTACTGAGCCGGGGAATCAGCAAATTGCGCCCTCTCCAGTGAGATGAGACCGCAGGAGTGTGGTACAGCAGCCTGGACCATCTGCGGGGCCTGGCAGGGAGGCAAGGATGCGGGACAGCCTGAACCCATGAGGACGTAACAGGGAGCCCCAATTGTGCGCGCCCCCCCCGCCTTTTTTATTTTTTGAGAGGGAGTCTCACTCTTTGTTGCTCAGGCTGGAGTGCAGTGGCACGATCTTGGCTCACTGCAACCTCCACCTCCTGGTATCAAACAATTCTTCTGCCTCCGCGTCCCAAGTAGCTGGGATTACAGGCGTCAGCCACCACGCCCGGCTAATTTGTGTATTTTTAGTAGAGACGGGGTTTCGCCATATTGGCCAGGCTGGTCTTGAACTCCTGACCTCAGGTGATCCGTCCGCCTCGGCCTCCTCAAGTGCTGGTATGACAGGCGTAAGTCCCCACACCCGGCCCAATTGTGCCCTTTCTAAAGGGGCCTCAGACACCAGAACGGCCTTTCTCTCAAAACAAGACAGAGGGCCGGGCGCGGTGGCTTAAGCCTGTAATCCCAGCACTTTGGGAGGCCAAGACGGGCGGATCACGAGGTCAGGAGATCGAGACCATCCTGGCTAACACGGTGAATCCCCGTCTCCACTAAAAAATACAAAAAACTAGCCGGGCGAGGTGGCGGCGCCTGTAGTCCCAGCTACTCGGGAGGCGGAGGCAGGAGACTGGCGTGAACCCGGGAGGCGGAGCTTGCAGTGAGCTGAGATCCGGCCACCGCACTCCAGCCTGGGCGACAGAGCGAGATGCCATCTCAAAAAAAAAAAAAAAAAAAAAAAAAGAGGCTGGAGCTAGGGAAGAGCCTCCCTACCTTCCCTCGGAAGCGGCCTCCCGTCAGAGCTAGGGCCTTGGGGCAGATTTTGGCTCAGAAACCGCGGGGGACCTGTTCACTCATGGCCCACCCCCCCATGTGTGTTCCCAAGCTTCGCCAGGACACGGGGCCTGGCACTGCCGCTGACGAACTGTGGGGTCCCTTCTCCCTCGTGCGACTCACCGAGGATGGGAGACCCGGCGGGACCTTCCGGACCTTCTTGGGCTGCGTGTCTGTTAGGAGCGAAAAGGGTGAGAACCGGCCACCGGCCATGAGAACAGCCCCTGCCCTGCAACCTGGAGGAGAGACCCTCAGAATTCCCGTTTCATAAACAAAACACCTCGTGTCAGCCGGACACAGTGCCTCACACCTGTAATCCCAGGACTTTGGGAGGCCAAGGCAGGCAGATCATGAGGTCAAAAGATGGAAACCATCCTGGCCAACACAGTGAAACCCCATCTCTACTAAAAATACAAAAAGTGGCCAGGCGTGGTGGCGGGCGCCTACAATTCCAGCTACTTGGGAGGCTGAGGCAGGAGAATCACTTGAACCAGGGAGGCTGAGATTGCAGTGAGCTGAGATCGTGCCACTGCACTCCAGCCGGGGCGACAGAGCGAGACTCCGTCTCAAAAACACAACAACAAAAAAACACCTTGGGTCTATCTACATGGCTCCAAAAACGTAAAAGAACCATGACGGTTTTTTCTCCTGCGACGCACAGTTAGGAAAACGAGGAGGTGATGGGTCCTAAGCCAAGGCTCTGCTGAGAAGCCCCGTGGCCCCACCCTCCAAGATGGCCCCGCCTATCACACGCAGTCAGGCCTCACCACTCGGGGCTGCTGTTCGCCTATGGGACAAAATCCATAACCCAGAAATCAGCACTCAGGCGCCTTCCTGATCACTCGTGGATGGGCACAGAGCGAGAAAAGGTCAAGCGGGCCAGGCGCACGTACCCAGCTGAAGCGCAACAAAGGCCGCCTCCCGCATCATGGGGCTCCTGTCCTTGCTGTATTCAGAGCCACAATCTTTTACATTTTTGTGCTTTTTGTGGGTGATCTCACGCTTATTTTTTTCAGGCAGGGTCTTGCGCTGTTGCTCAGGCTGGAGTGCAATGGTGCGATCGCAGCTTACTGCAGCCTCGAACTCCAGGGTCAAACCATCCTCCTGCCTCAGCCTCCTGAGTAGCTGGGACCACAAGCCTGTGCCACCATGCTTACCTAATTTTTAAAAGTTTTTGCAAACGTGGGATCTCCCTATGTTGTCCAGAATGGTTTCCAACTTTTGGCCTCAAGTGATCCTCCTGTCTCGGCCTCCAGGGTAGCTGGGACCCCAGGTGAGTGCCACCACGCCTGGCGAGTGCACTGCGTGGAATGGGCGCCGGGTAGTTCGAGGTGCCGTCCAGTGCTCCTGAGCCCAGAAGGCTGTGATGTGCCTTGCAGGGGATGCCCAGGTGTGCACGTTCTGCTCAGGCGTGAGCAGCAGGCTCAGTGTAGAGGAACCACGATGCACCTCGTGAGGCGTCTTACACAGAAACCGCATGCACAGAGCCCACACCCATCAGCCACAGGAACCTTGGGACCAGAGGCTCGTAGGAACCTCTCCCTGGACTTGTCACAGGAACAATCTATTAGCCCCGTGCAAAAGTCGTTGCAGGTTTTGCCACAATAGTTTGTGGCAGCCTCATGGGCCGGGGCCACCGGGAGTAACGAGCCCCCGCCTGCCCCGGCCTCGTCCCCCATCACCGTCCACCCCTCCCACGGCCCAAGCGCCTGGCGTCCAGCCAGAACCTGGAAGGTGGCAGGGTGTGCTCCCCCTGGTGCCCTCAGCTAACGGCGGCCCCCCATCTCCCTTTGCAGGCCCCCTCCCCGAAGCCCCCGATGCCCTGGCCAGACCCCGCTCACCTAGGCTGCCGTCCGCCGCTCTCCGTCGCGAGCTGCCGGAGTAGGAGGGGTAGTACTGGGAGGTCCCCTTCATGCCCGAAGGGGACAGGGGCCCGGGGCTGCTGAGCGCCAGCTCGCCCGACAGGAAGCCAGCCTGGTGGGGAGCGGGTGGTCAGGAAGCACCAGGCTGGCATCCAGACCCCAGGCTATTCCATTCACGAAAAAACTGCAAAGGCCGAAGCCGCTCGGACCCGCCCCTTGGTGGTCGATGTCCCTTCTGCCTGCTCGAGGAGTTTCTTTCTGACACCTGCCATGTTCCTCCGACTTAAAACTGACCGCAACCCACACTGCTGTTTTCACAAAGAACGAAAGACTGAGAAGCAGAGGCCAGCGCGGCTAACCCAAGGGGCTGCTCCCTGGATTCTGAGACGCGAAAGTACAAAGCTGCGTGACTCAGTGTCTGTGCACCCGGCTGCTTCCTATCTTTTTGGTTTTGTTTGGAAAACCCTCGATTGGATTCTGTACGTGTTAGTGTGAAACGGGCTTTCTTCCTGGGGAGCCAGGGCCACCCTGAGCCGGGTCCCAGAGCCGACTCCTGCATTTCATCTGCTCTATCATCATCCAGTGGCCCCATGGGGTGGCCCAGTGCCCAGGACAGGGCCTTCTCCCGAGGCCCAGCCTGTCCTGAGCCCGCACCCTGTGTGGCTACCGCGGGGCTCGATGAATCACCAGGGAACGCCAGAGAGCAGGGCCCGAGACCTAGTTCTGCTTCTCGGATGCGGAGCCCCGGACCTGTGTATTCCTGTCTGTAAAACGGGCACATAGGCCGGGGCCCCTCGTGGGGACTGACTGGGGAAACGCGAGTGTACCCCTGGCACAGAGCCTGGTACCCGGCTGGCCCTCAATCACGGTGGCTGCTGCTGTCTGGCTTGAGCACAGAGATGGCCCCACCTGTGACAAGGCCGAGCCCCACCGAGGGCCAGGAGCTGAGGGCAGGGACAGAGACAAAGTCCTGGGATGAGGGAGGAACCCTGGGGGTGCCCAGGACTAGAGGCTGCACGGGACCCCTGTGGCTGGTCACAGCCCCCAACATCCTCGCCCCCAGCCTCACAACCAGGGCCAGCATGGGTGAGGATTTCGGCTCCCCAGGGGGTCCACACCTGCAAAGGCCTGCTGCGTGGCCTCAGTTTTCCTACCTGCCACTCAGGTGGGTGGGCAATGGAGCCCCTCCAGCTGAGCATGGCAGTCCCGCAGGCCTTGGCCTCCCTAGTCCTCACCTGCCTCCCCACTCCTCCCGGTCCACACCCACCCAGCCCACCCCGGCCCAGGCCCAGCCTGGTTTCACTGTTATCAGGAAGTGAACAGAACCTGGCTGAGCCAGGAGAGCTTCTGCAGATCAGGGAGGGTGAGTGACACATTTGTTTACAATTAAAATACCCCCCAGGCCGGCCTGAGCCCCTCACCTGAGTCAGGCCGCCCACGCCTGCGTCTCTCCCAAAGGAGGCATAGGCACCACGCTCGCCGCTCTTGCCTGCAAGGGGAGAAGGAAGGTTAGTGGGAGGTGACCCCAAGGAGCATCCTGAGGGCCCCCCGAATGCCTGACACGTGTCCACATACAAAGGCTCTCAGTACGTGCACACGACTGAGCGCACCGCGGCAGGATGCTGGCAGAGCCTGACCCCAGTGTGCCCGTTTCAGGGAGCCCTGACCCCAGTGTGCCCGTCTCCCACAGAGCCTGACCTCAATATGCCTGTCTCCTGCCCACCAGCGACAGGCTTGGGGACAAGAAGGGGTCCCCGATGATTTTGGCATCAACACTGTTTGCAGCCCACATAAGCCCTGCATGGGGGGGGGTGGGAAGGGGACAGCAGAGCTCGCCGGGGCCGTACTTCCTGCTAGCCAGGACCCTGCCCTTCCTGAGCCTGTTTCCTCTGTTCCAGGCATTGAGGGGCTGATGCCCTGGGGTGCTGAGCTCAGAGGCATTTGTCTGCCCCAGGGGACAGCCCTGGGGCCTGTGCACACAGCATCAGGTTCAGCGCACGGGTCCCTGGGTTCCCCTGGCACAGGCTCCCCCAAAGTGCCCAGCATGCAGCCTTCAGGCCAGGGTTCATTCACAAAGGAGCATGTGACCTGCGCTCCGCCAGTAAGCACCTCCCTGGGGTGCTCAGCGACAAACGGCAGGTGAAGCCTTGGGGCTACAGAGGGAGGACAGCTGGCCGGGGTGAGACCCAGCATGGAGGGCCTGGGCTACAGAGAGGACGGCTGGCCGGGGTGACCCCCAGCATGGAGGGCCTGGGGGGCTACAGAGGGAAACAGCTGGCCAGGGCAAGCCCCCAGCATGGAGGGCCTGGGCTACAGAGGGGATGGCTGGCCAGGGCAAGCCCCCAGCATGGAGGGCCTGGGGGGCTACAGAGAGGGACGGCTGGCCGAGGTGAACCCCCAGCATGGAGGGCCTGGGCTACAGAGGGGATGGCTGGCTGGGGCGAGCCCCCAGCATGGAGGGCCTGGGCTACAGAGGGGATGGCTGGCCGGGGCGAGCCCCCAGCATGGAGGGCCTGGGCTATAGAGGGGACGGCTGGCCAAGGTGAGCCCCCAGCATGGAGGGCCTGGGCTACAGAGGGGACAGACTGCCTGGGTGACCCCCAGTGTGGAGGGCCTGGGGCTGCTGCAGAGACGCCTGGATCCAGCCTCGCCTGAAGCAGACACCCGATTACTCAGCACCTGAGCCACTTAAATCCCCTTCTGGCTGACACTGGGCACAGAATGTGACTGAGGCTGCTGTGAGGGGCTGAAAAGCGCGATTGACTAATGTACATTATTCTCAAACCAGGAAAAAGTTCTGCAAGTTTTGAATTTTAAAAGTTCAATGATATCCCAACTCCTGGAACAAATGCTGCTGTTTTTTGCCTCCCATTTCCTCATCTTGGTGACCCTGGGGACATGGGGAAAATGACAGCCATGACCCACCCCACGGGCCACACCCGGCTACAGGAGTTGCTTGCTCAGCAACTCGGGTGAGAACACTGAGGCCAGAGGAGCCTAAGGTTATGCCCCCACATGCTTCCCTGGGCCCCCCCCCCCCCCCGTCCTCTCCAAGCCGCTTGGCTATGGCCCAGGCCCCACCCGTGGGGGAGGCAGGTGGGACATGGCTGGGGTCAGGGCACTGCTGGCTGGGCCGTGGGAACTGCCCGCGTCAGCCCTGCCCACCCTGGGGCCACTGGGGACATGAGGAAGAGGCCGGGAAGAAGGAACAGCCAGTGGGGAACCGGCCCTTCCGGGTGCAGGGGCCACCCAGGGCGGGGGGGGCCGGGGCCAGGCCTCACCTACCCCGTGTGGGGAATGGGCAGAATCGCCTGTGGCAGGTGGTGGGCCCTCAAGCACACCCGCCCCCACCTTCACACTATTCGCTTCCTACTCATGACACCAACTGACTCTACTGCGTGCCAAGTCCTAGGCCGGGCAAAGTGAAACAGGACCACCCCTGCCCCACTGTGGGGCCCAACCAGGGGCTGCCCTTCAGGGTCCAGAGAAAAGGCTGGGTCCCCCAAAGTCCTTCGGGCCTCAGTTTTCCCCCTGGCCAACAATGCTGAGGGGTACACGGGGCGCACCCAGGCCCTCCAACAGGTCCAGCGCTCCGCAGCTCCCGGCTTCTGAGCAGCGCATGCCCCCACCGCACCACGAAAACCACGAGGAAACCCTGCCTCAAACTGTCGGCTTCCAGAGACAGGGAAGGATCCCGCATCCCAGGATGACTGAGGGACGAAACCACAAATTCCACAGCGGAGGCACTGGGGCAGGAGGCTGACCACGACAGCGGGACCCCCGAGCCCCTCGCTAGCCCCCCACGCAGCAAGACCCCCCCACCAAAACCCCTGCCCGAGCTCCCCGAATCCCGGGGCGCAGGACTTGCCACTCCCGCAGGAGGTGGAGGATGTGAAGCTCGGGGGATTTCCTGGGTCACCCGCAGGAGGGACGGCACACAGGACACCATCCCAGCCACAGCCCCAGGTCAGCCCCACCCAGCCACAGACCCTCGGCCAGGTGCCCTTCCCAAGCATCGGTTCGTTCCCCTGCAGCACGGGTGAGCCTGCACTGAGGCTGGGATATTCACAGGACCAGGCAGCACCAACCCCCACCTGGCATTTGGCAGGGCCTGCAGAGCTGGGCCAGTCCTCACCCGCCTCCCTCCGAGAAGGTTCTCCCTCAGAGAGGGTCCCCTTCCTACAGTGGGGAAACTGAGGCTCAGAAGAGGATGGTGCTTGCCCAGGTTCCGTGGTGGGGTGGGACCAGATACCTGGCCTGAATCGTCATTCTTTTTTTTTTTTTGAGGTGGAATCTCGCTGCGTCACCCAGGCTGGAGTGCAATGACGTGATCTCGGCTCACTGCAGCCTCCACCTACCGGGTTCAAACAATTCTCCTGCCTTGGCCCCCTGAATAGTTGGCACTACAAGTGCCCAACACCATGCCCGGCTAATTTTTGTATTTTTGGTAGAGGCGGGGTTTCACCATGTTGGCCAGGCTGGTCTCAAACTCCTGACCTCAGGTGGTCCACTCACCTCGGTCTCCCAAAGTGCTGGGATTACAGGCATGAGCCACCGTGCCTGGCCTGAGTCACGATTCTCTCCATTAACAGGAGGGCCCCCCAGGGAAAGAGGGCGGGCGGTCTGCGGAAGGGCACAGGCTCTGACCACCGCACACGCTGGCCGCCTTCCCGAGTCTCCAGAACTTCCCAGAGGGCACAGGCTGGCCCTGCTGACCCCTCCCCGGGAAGCAGGAGGAAGAAATCCAGGAAGTGGGGTCTGCAACAGCCCCCCTGCCTCTACACTCAGGCGGGGAAGCTGAGTCACAGAGCGCCGTGCCAGGGAGTCCAGGCTGCGTCCCCTGCACCTCCCGCAGCTGTTCCCAGGACGGGCAGACGCTTTGGCTGTCCGACACCCTCTGGGTGAATGCTGGGAACCTGTCTGGCACTGCACGTGCACTGACCACGCCAAGGCCCACGTCTGCACATCTGTGCACGGCAGAGGGACCGCACCAGGCCGGGCACTCACCTCCCAGTCCCGGTCCCAGGAATGTGGATGAAGAGAGGCTGCTGTGCGACTCAGTGAAGTGGGTGCCCTCGCTGAAGGTCTAGGGGAGACGGGGTGGGGATGAGAGGTGCTGGGGCTCCACAATCCGCCCCCTACCCCCATATTACAGCTGGTGAGGCAGGACTCAAACCCACATCTCCTGGTCCAAACCCCTGGAAGACTGGCCCCTTCTCTCAGTCTGTTTCCCCACACCGCCCGTCCCCCACTCTGGGGACAGGAAACTCAGGGTCTCAGGCCTTACGGGGGCTCCTACCCGGCTGGGGTCAAAGGAGGAGCTGTTCTGGTCGCCGCTGCCCCAGGAACCTGAGCTGGGCCGGTCCTCAAGACCTGCAGGCAGGACAGAGAGAGTTACAAGTCACCCTCACGCCTGCCCAGCTCTAAAAGCTTCGGTTTCTGTCATCTCAGGGGCAAGCCTCAGTGGACCCGGGGGCTTGTGGAACCTTTCCTGACCCAGGCTCACCCCGTCTGACTTATGAGGACACCAGTCAGCAGTCAACACCCAGACACCCTGGGACTCGGAGCACTCACAGCTCCATAAACTTGAATAACTCTTCCACTGGCTCTCTGCTGGCAAACTCCTACCCACCCACTGAAGCCCTAGCCATCATGCCCTCCTTGGGCAGAGACCTCGCTCTCACACGGGGCTTCCTCCCCATCAGTCCCAAGTCCTTCCCTCTGGCCCAGCCCTGACTATGTGGGCTGGGGTCTGTGTCAGATGCAGACGCTTCTGACCCTACGAGAAAGGCTCATGAGAGCACGAGGGTATGGAAGCGAAACCATGCGCTCTGGGGAGGCCCAGGGTCTCCCTGTCCCCAACTGCCAGTGTGGGAGGTGGGGCCGCCCTTTGCTGAAGCAGCAGCAGAGGCCCACCCACTGGGCAGGAGACTGGCAGCCCGTGAGGGTGGAGCCGAATCTCGTCACCCGGAACAAGCCCAGTGCCACCAGGGGCCCACGTGGGGCAGGAGTTCCCGGTGCAGCAAGGGACGGGATGAGGACCTTGGTCCCGGGGCGGGGCGGGCAGGGCCCTTATCTCTCAGAACACTCGCAGGCAACGCCCAGGACTCCAGAATCTTCTGCCCTGGGCAGGGTGGGCCTGCTTGGATCATTCCCCCTTCCATCGGGGGCCACAGAGCATACCCGTGGAGAAGCAGGAGCAGCCCTGGGCCTCCTCAGCTTGGCCACGGGGCCACTGCCCTGCCTTGGTTTCCCTCTCCATAAACGAATTACAAACGGGTCCTACTTTTAAAGGGCTTGGGGTGTCCATGTCCAACTCTCAAGTCCAGGGGCTTCCCAAGAGCCAGGCCTGGGGTACCCAGCCCAGCGCTGCTGTCTGTGACAGGCACAACCTCAGGCTGTTCTCCCCACGCGGACTCCACACGGCAGGCTGCGGGACCCAGCTCCGCTCCTCGGCCCCACCCCTCTTGCCCTCCCTGCTCGTGGGCACCAGAAACTTCTTTCAAATTGCATCCTTCTATTTCGGTGCCTTTGTGTTAATCATTCCCCCCGGGGAGTATTGGTGTTTAATTGCTGTCTGATTTGCATAATTATGCATATTAATCTCCAAGTCTAATGAATATTCATATGCCTCATTTAGATTTTGTTTTCTAATCAAAAATTTCCAACGTGATTATGAGTAGGGGGCTGGGATGCTGCCTTGGCTGATCTGGGGGACAGGCAGGGGGCTCCTGTAGTCTCCAGGAATCCACACGGCATTGGCTGTCAGGTCTAGGCCATCTGCACCCCGAGATCCTGGTCCTGCACGTGGGTCCGGGCGAACAGGGCAGCTGCTGAGGCCAGGGCACGCTGGCTGCGTGGGTGGGAGGGCAAAGCGCCGGCACCCTCTGGGCCTCAGTTTGCCTCTACACCACCTGCCCGCTGTCCGGTCCCCTCTGGCCATAGCCCGCTCCCCAGGAGGTGCACAGACCCCCAACTGAGCAAACGGGAGGCTCCTGGCACCCAGCCCTCACCCCCTGGAAGGCGTGGCATGGTGGGGGGCCTCCTCGGGGCCCCATGCCCAGGTCGCCCCCGAGGCTCACTCCAATAGGCCCCTGGCAGAGGCAATGCCTCAATCTGCTCTTTCGGGGAACCTTCCCTCACCCAGTCCTTGGCCTCCTCCTCCTAGAAATGACAAAAATAGGGACAGCCCCCACATTAATAGTTATTAAAATCCCCCACCGATTAATTATGCATTTTAATAATCCACCATGAATATTCACAATGCATCCCCTGCTCCTTTTCTAATTAAAATGTACTAATAGAGTAAGACGCTGCTGTCAGAGTGTGGTTTTCTGTGATTTCTTTGGTGAAGCACTGCAGTTTTCGCCAGGAAGCACACCTTCCTGCCCTGGGCCAGCCTGGCTGCCTCAGGGAGAGGCCTGCAAGTGGACGGCATGGGGGAGCTGGGGAGAGGGCCCCAGGAGCTGCCCATCCCTTGGGCTTCGGTTCCTATTCCAGTCACAGGGGTATGGAAGCTGCCCACCTGCCTGGGCTGCCATGAGGATAACAACGAATGATGCTGCTTCAAGAGAGGCCATCGGTGGCCAAGGAACGCTCAATGCTGGTGGCTTCCCAGCCCCAGTCCCCGTTGGGTCCCCTCCTGAGAGGGACCAGGGACTGGTCCTGGCCTGGTGGCTTGCCGGCAAAATGGGAGGGGGGGCTTCAAAAGGTGCTCAGTAAATACTGGGTAGGACTGAGATGTCTGCAGCAGGGATCAGCAAATAGTACACAAGGACCAAGTCTGGCCCCCAGCTTGCTTTTTAAATAAAGTTTTATTGGCACACACTGTGCCCATTTGTCCATGTACTATCTACAGCTGCTTTTGCTGCAAGAGTAGAGTTGAATAATTCCAATAGAGACCATGTGTCCTGCACAGCCAAAAATATTCACTCCCTGGTCCTTTCTGGGGAAGGCTGGCTGACCTTCATACAGAAGACTGCCCAAGTGGCTTCAGCTGCCTCTGCACAAGAACCCCAACTGACAGACTTCAGTACCAGGAGTGGGGTTACCGTGCTGGGCAGGCAAAACTCTTGGCGGACACGGGCCCTGAGCACAGCCCTGTGTACTGCCCCTGCCAAACCCTCAGGCACACCACACCACCAGGTGGTCTGGCTTCAGACGGGCCTGGGACTTCATCCTGTAGCCCCAGCTCTGCAATGAGCCCCCCACTCAGGTGCTCAGGCTAAGGTCCTGGGAGTCTTCTCACCTTCCCTCCTCCCAAAGAACAGCAGCTCGCCCCATAGCTATACAGCAGCTTCCTCCCAACTCTGCCGACATCCTCAGGCAGCCTGATGGAGCCTTTAGATGCCAAACTTGGCTCTTCTCCCTCCCTCTAGCCTCTCTCATGGCTCCCATCATCCTCAGGATAAAGATCAAACTCTTCCCTGACCGCATCACTCTCCTCTTCCCCAACACATGAGGTGACCCCCACCCATGCCCCCTGCTTGAGCCCCTTCCCAGCCTGGGGCTCCTCTTTGTCCTCAGCATTGCTTGAAACACAGCAGAGGCCCCCAAAACACCCATCCTCAATGTCTTCATTTCACTCATAAATAACTGTGCTTCCAAGAACATTTTCCTGGAGAATTAAAATGTTCTCCACCTCTGCTGTCCAATACGGGAGCCACACTATAAACTGCTGGAAACGTGGCCAGTATTTTTTCAAGCGCATTAAAAATTACACTGAACGGCCAGGCACGGTGGCTTATGCCCATAATCCCAGCACTTTGGAAGGCCGAGGCGGGCGGATCACGAGGTCAGGAGATGGAGACCACCCTGGCTAACACGGTGAAACCCCGTCTCTACTAAAAATACAAAAAACTTAGCCAGGCGTGCTGGCGGGCACCTGTAGTCCCAGCTACTCAAGAGGCTGAGGCAGGAGAATGGTGTGAACCCACGAGGCAGAGTTTGCAGTGAGCCCAGATCGTGTCACTGCAACCTCTGCCTCCTGGGTTCAAGTGATTTTCCAGCCTCAGACTCCCACATAACTGGGACTACAGGAGCCCGCCACCATGCCCAGGTAATTCACACGCTGGCCAGGCTGGTCTTGAACCCCAGACCTCAGGTGATCCATCCACCTCAGACTCCCAAAGTGCTGAGATTACAGGCATGAGCCACAATGCCTAGCCAATTAAAAAAAAATCTTTGGTAGAGATGGGGGTCTCACTACATTGCCCAGGCTGGTCTCATACTCCTGGACTCAAGCGCTCCTCCCACCTTGTATTTTCCAAAGCCCTGGGATCACAGGCGTGCGCCAGCAGGCCCAGCCTCCATTTTATCTAAGTTCAAGCTACGGGAGAAGGTGAAACACCAGGATGCCCTAGGCCTGGCTGGCGCGCGGCGGCTGCCCTGGGTTTATCTTCCCGACTTGTCTTCTTGGTCAGGGCCGCAGGCTGTGGCGCACGCTCCCAGCATTCTCAGGATCCGGAATCGGGGAGAAAATGTTTCTGGGGCAGCACAGAGCCCTTCCTTGCTGGGGGGCTGAGGACATCCCGCGAAGCCCCTCTTCCGTCTGCCCCTAGTGTCTGCCGGTGGGGGCAGCAAAGCAGGGCGCCATGGCCCTCCCGTGAGCAGACAAACCTGAGGCTGAACAGAAAGTGGGTGGAGACCACACACCACCCTAAGAGTGGGGGTCCCTGGAGCCCCTAAAGCGGCAGGATGTGCCCTCGGGCAAAGGGACCGTGAGGCTGTGTGGGCAACACAGGCAACCTCCTCCACCAGAACCGGGGACAACCTCCTCCGCCGGAACCGGGACAACCTCCGCCGCCGGAACCGGGGACAACCTCCGCCGCCGGAACCGGGAACAACCTCCGCCGCCAGAACCAGGGACAACCTCCGCCGCCGGAACCGGGGGCGCCTCATAACCTCCTCCGCCGGAACCGGGTACACCTCGCAACCTCCTCCACCAGAACCGGGGACACCTCACAACCCCACTCCCCCAAGGCCCTGGGGTTTCCCACGAGGGCAGAGCTGGACGCGAGAGTGGGCGTCGAGCACAGATATAAGTAACAACTAGAGAAACGTACCCGCTTTGAATTTCAGAGACCACAGAGATAACTGAGACCCCCATCTCGCTCCTGCTTCCATGTCTATGGGAACCACCAGCGCACGGTACCCGAGTGTGGGGATCAGAGAACCTGCCCCTCAAAACAAGCTCAGAAACCAACCCGAGGCCAGGCGCGGTGGCTCACGCCTGTAATCCCAGCACTTTAGGAGGCCGAGGCGGGCAGATCATGAGGTCAAGAGATCAAGACCATCCTGGCCAATAGGGTGAAACCCCCATCTCTACTAAAAATACAAAAACTAGACGGCCAAGGTTGGGGGGGGCCTGTAGT